TCAATTTATTTTCATATTGTTCTCTCTAGGTATTTATATGCTTATCCATTTTATTGTTTTTATTGTTTAACTCTTCAATAATTATATTTTATTTCCTTCTGAAATGTTATCCCTTATTGTGTATTGTTTTATTTTGCTCTTGTCCTGCGAAATATATAAATTTTTTATTTAGCTCAAAACTAGCAGTTATTTGACAATTTTCCATTTTTTCGCTTTAAATAATTTAATTTTAGGAAGTAAAGGACGGAAACATTAATTGTAACCTAAAGGGAATAGCTTTAGGTGACTCTTGGATTTCACCAGTAGACTCTGTAATTAATTATGCACCTTTCCTTTATAGTATGGTAAGTATGATACATTTTTATATAAATTATTATTTTTTGCAATTTATTTTTTCTATGCCCATCTGTTAGTTCAAGAGCTAATAGTAAAAACAATTACCTCATAAGTAACCAAAGGTTTGAATTTACATGTCGATAATACTTTAGGTTGTAATTTTAAAACCGTCCGTCTGCCGAGCGTTAGTAGTCACTTTATTATATTTAAAAAAGTTTAAAATAATTAAAAATCACTCATAACTATCCAATTATAAGTAAAACGCAAATTTTTGGTAAAATTTTTGATGGTTTTCGATGATTGTTGATGATTTTTGATAATTGTTAATGATTCTTAATGATTCTTAATGATTTTTAATGATTTTTTTATGATTTTTAATGATTTTTAATGATTTTTAATGATTTTTAATGATTTTTAATGATTTTTAATGATTTTTAATGATTTTTAATGATTTTTAATGATTTTTAATGATTTTTAATGATTTTTTAATGATTTTTAATGATTTTTAATGATTTTTAATGATTTTTAATGATTTTTAATGATTTTTAATGATTTTTAATGATTTTTAATGATTTTTAATGATTTTTAATGATTTTTAATGATTTTTAATGATTTTTAATGATTTTTAAATGATTTTAAATGATTTTTAATAATTTTTAATGATTTTTTAATGATTTTTAATGATTTTTGATGGGATATAATGATTTTTGAAGATATAAGATTATATTTAAGATGTAGTTAAGGAAAATGCCTCAAATAGGTATAAAATAACGTTTCTCAAACGAAATCAAAATCACTTTGATTGGCCCAGACAAAACGATACCGATATTGTGGAAAAAGACGATGTATTTTACGGACCTTTTGAGCTAATTGGGGAAGGCCCATTTAATTTAAAAACACATGATTTATTTAATTAAATAATCTACTTAAAATTACTTTACACGTTACATAAATAGTAATTTTCTAATTTTCACACATAAAGTGACATTTTTTGTAATTACAGCAAGTGTCAAAATGATCTACATAATACAACCAGTTGCATAAAGTTGATTATGTCATCAGTTGGGGAAGAAAACATCTAAAATAAACCTATTTCGATTTTAAAAACAACATATTTGGTGTACATTGTTCTGAAGTGTATATCAAAAAAAGGCAGGCTATCTAAAAATATGTTTTTTTAGTGGAAAATCATTAATTGAATTATGGTTCCATCGCCATTTTTAACAGTCTTGGTCCATCCTAAAATTGCACAAAATAATCAAAACCTTGCTTCACATAATACACTGACATAACTTTACGAAGAAAAGAAAACAAAAATATCTATGATGATAAATATTCTAAAATTAAAAATTATGACATAAAAGTATCAATATTGGCATGAGTAGTTACTATTTATTAATGTCAGACGTTTCGACGTTTACCGATTATTTTCAACAGTTTCCCTGAATACATGATAATAACATGACACTATTTTAGAGAAAATCGAAAAATTTCCTTCAACCGTCCCGACAAGTGGTTGGTTGAGGTCGTTAAGAAAATTTGCAAATGAAGGTTAGTTATAAAACAATACGGATTTTAAGTATATTGGTAGCATATACAGAATGGCCCAAAAGTCTGGAAACGGCCAATTATCTCGTAAATTGCTAATCCTAATTGTACAAAATTTGGGGTACACCTATTTTGGGATACGGAGATTTCAGATTCTCCGTATATTATAGACAATTTTATTGATGTTTTTTTAATTATTTTTACTAAAAACAATTAAGGGCTGAGAATTAGGTTCTATATAGCCTAACAATTTAGAATAACTTGTAAACAATAGTAAGAGCTCATAAAAAAGTTTTTAAGCATACATCGATGTGTAGCCTATAACATTATTGAGCAAGCTGTTGCATACTTCAAAGATTCTGTTTTTTAATATATATTTCCAATTTTATAAATAATCTAGTCGAAAAAATCCTGTCTCATGGTATTTTTAAGAATTACCTGTTGCCTAAGAATACTAAGCATACATAATATGCTTTTTTTTTAATGAAAAACGTAGTATTTATTTTAAATTTTGAATACACCCATTTTTTCACATTCTTCTATTATAAGGTTTGTCTGGGTTATAGAATGGCATATAATATGAAAGTCGATGGTATGAGTACCTCCTGTAGATATATGAAGTAATAACCAACTAATGAAGAAAATAAAATATATTACATTATATTATATAACTCATTATATACTAATTACGATGTTCATTCAAGAATGTGAATTTCTTCTAAAGTATTTTAATTAACAAAGCTTTTATTAAAAGAATGGAGTAATCTAAATTTAAAATATCTTGTTTCTTACAACAAGGAACTTTACCAAAGATAAATGCTGAATAAATGCATTAATAATAAATGTCTATTATTTTTACAATTATAGGTATAAGATGCGGAGTTGCGGCTTATTATCCTTCTAAACAATAGTTTTAACTCGTTCTGAATAATTGTTCCAAAATTAAATGTTTTCCGTAAAACTTTGTAGTCGGATAACTAATTAAAAATAGTAACTAACTTACTCTAACTTGATAAAAAAAAGATAAGAATAAACGAGAAGGATACTAGTGGAATGAGGCAAGCTACAATTAAAAGATTAAGTTCATAACAATCACAACAAAATTGTAACAAAAGTTTTAATCCTTAATCCTTTTAATTTTTTTATTTTAATCAGGTAAAAATGTAATCTCCTCTCCTCTGCCGCCATAGAAATATTGAAGCAATTAAAGAGATCGGATAGAATAGATACGCCTTGTTTACATTGAATTTGTCCACATCTTTCTGGCAGTACGCTCTTCCTATGTTGTCAGATCTCTTCCATCAAATATCCTGTATTACATTTTTATTGCCAAATTTACTATTCCTTTTAATATAATCTATTAAAAAAGGAATATAAAGAATGGAAGGCATCTATGTGAGTTTTTTATTCATTACAATAATTTAAGATTTTTATTTATCGTCTTTTACACGTGTATCGTATGTGGAAATTGAACATTCTGGTTTATAACCTTTAAGTTTGGCAACCTAAGATAGCTTAATTTTGATTGTGCTTTATTGTAGTTTTTTGAGATTTTTAATAATAAATTGGATATTGAACTGTTTAATAAGGTCATTTAGGATGGTGAGGAAATGTGTGCCGTGCCCACGATAAATGACATACATTTTACAGGTGTTTTAACTCTTTTTAAAATATAGCACCAAACAGTGCATATTACTAAAAAATCCACCAGAGGTCGGTAGAAGGTGAAGTACCGCAAATGAAAACAAATAATGCATTCGAACTGTCAGAAAAATTCAGTTAATCAAGTAAAAAATACGTCTGTATCCAATTTTATTTACTACTAATCATACTCTATGTAACAAACAAAATGAAAAGTAAAAACAACGAGAAGAAAAATACTACCACATGCATATAATAATAACCACCCATATATTTCATCAAAACAAAGTGAGGACATTGTTTTACCTTTTTGTTGAATTCAATGATGTCAATTATACTTTGAAGTGATTTAGCTCAAATTGACCAAATCAAATAAAATCAGAGTAGCTTGACCGGTTCGTGGACCAAAGTCTACTTTACGATAAAGGATAAGATACTATAACGGCAAGAAAAGTTGAGCGTCAAGTTTTTAATTAACTTGGAAAACTGTCTGATTTTATATGCCCTGTATAATTGAGTCAGTCTCTGGTACTTCAAGTTGTCTGTTACGAGATCAGACAAATAAAAGAAAGTGATAAAATTTAATACATGTAATGAAATACGAAGGAAACACTTGTTACTAATTATCACATTTAAATTGACTATGATATAATACTCTTTCTTTGTTTCGACCGTGTGGCGTTACTGCGGTACTTCCCAATATGCGGTGATTATTTTCTGGTGATCTGGATCTGAATATATCGATTAACTTAAAGATCTTGTTCCAAAAAATGTGTCAGCTACTTGGAAATCTGTCCGATACTCGAAAGCTGTCCGATCCTTGGAGATATGTCCGTTACTACTTGGGTACTACTTGGGTACTACTTGAGTACTACTTGAGTACTACTTGGGTACTACTTGTGTACTACTTGGGTACTACTTGGGTACTACTTGGGTACTACTTGGGTACTACTTGGGTACTACTTGGGTACTACTTGGGTACTACTTGGGTACTACTTGGGTACTACTTGGGTATTACTTGGGTACTACTTGGGTACTACTTGAGTACTACTTGGGTACTACTTGGGTAGTACTTGGGTACTACTTGGGTACTACTTGGGTACTACTTGGGTACTACTTGGGTACTACTTGGGTACTACTTGGGTACTACTTGGGTACTACTTGGAATCTATCCGTTACTTCTTGGAGACTACTTGGAGATATGTCCGATACTACTGGGACAACTTCTTGGAGATACTTGAAGATACTTGGAGATACTTGGAGATATTTGGAGATACTTGTAGCTACTTAGAGCTACTTGGAGCTACTTCGAGCTACTTGGAGCTACTTGAGATTTAGAAATAAAAAACCTCAGTAACAGGAATTGTACAGGCTACAGGCCAGTTTGGAAATATTAAAGTTACATCATCTAAACAAAATATAAAATATTTATGGGGCCAAAATAAGTTATAGAATTAAGTTTTACATCATCTGAACAAAATATAAAATATTTATAAGGCCAAAACAAGTTAAGAGCCATAGATTTCCGTTTAAACTCTATTTCCAGACTGACTTGTAATTCAGGTATTTATTTGCCTTCCTGCGTATTTATCAAAGAAGGATTAAAAATATTATTAGGTGGAGTAGCTATAATCTATATAAAATAAAACAATGATTTGAGAACGAGTCTGAAACGACGTCTGGCCTGAACTAGCACATCAAATTTCTGTCGAGGAATCTCGATAATTAATATCGTCATAATCTGGCGGTAAAGGCATTTGTCTAGAGCACAAAGATGTCTGGGTTTGAATCCCACGACGATAGGTTTTTCCAAATCTCC